AATTTTTAAAAATTAGTATTTCTCCCAAAACACTAAATAAAAAAAAAAGAAAGGGAGCAAAAATTATTTGCAACTTTGAAGCGTCACTATTTTGTTAAATTTCGATTTTCCACAGAACAAGGTTTATTCTCCAACAAATTTAATATAGTTTTTAGAATTTTTGACCTTATTTCTGTTTCATATTATTATATAAGTAACAATGTTGTTCACCAATACCAGCGGCGCCTCATTCGACACAAAAAAACCTGTGCGACGAAATTTCCACTTCTCTTTAAATAAAATATAATGTTTTAATACTTAAAACGATAATAAATGGTACAGTCAAAACCTTATGTGAATATCTTTATTTTTTTTTCATTCGTAAAAACTTTCTACACTAAGAAAAAATATTTAAAAATTTACTTGTAAGGAATTTAAGTTTACTTCCGCGAAGTAAACTTTATTTATAAAGTGTGAAATAAACTTTGCATATCTCACAGATAAAGTTTCAAGTATTTTTCGACTACTTAAATCCGAGTCTCCCCTTAACTTGTTCACGCCCTGAATATTCACCGAACGTAAGTTTCGCATTCAGTGAGAGAGAACTCTATCTCTTCTTACAATCTTCCGTCCTGTGTTCTAACGTCTCAGGTAGAAACTTTATCAGTTTTCCTGTATACTGCATCGCATGTTTCTTTCACGGGTAATCTTCGTCATCTAAGCCATCATCGAAAGGAATCGATGACGCGTCGGCAGATAATGAAAAGCGCATTCGTTGTCGAGTCGTGAAGAAGTGACTCACGTGCTTGTGTCGCGCGAATACGAATGGCCGTATGGGTTTAATCCTCGTCAAGGTGTTTACGCGAGTCGCGACCACGACGAAATCACGACGCATACACGGCATGTAATGTTGCCGTAACGGTAATCTCAGGTGTCCCTCGTCGGCTCACGATGTTGTTCGCACCTTGGAAAGTACGACATGCACGCACCGGTTTCATTTTCATTCAGCGCGCCTCGCAACTCGTTTCTTCGGAAATGTTGCACTGTGGCTCGCGCACGTAGAGCACGGAAGAGAGCACGAGAAAGAAAGAGAAAGAGAGAGAGAGAGAGAGAAAGAGAGAGAGAGAGAGAGAGAAAGAAAGAGAGAGAGAGAGTGTGTGACTGGCTATCGATTCTTCTCTCGATGCGGAAGACCGCATTTATCTATACCATTCCGCAATCTTATTACTCCTTGGAATCTGCGCAACTCGACGGTTACTACTCGATGATATGACTTTGGCGATTACGAGTGCATGCGTCGACTTGATTTGCATGTGCAGGTGCAACGCTCACTTCGCTGGATATTATCCCGAGTGCAGTTTCGCGAATTGCACACGTCATATCTGCAATTAACTCTGACGTGAACACGAACGCGACGCGAATTTGTTTATTTGTTCAGTCACAATGTGAGAAAGTGGAAAGCCTCTTTGAAAAGGGACTTTCCCCTTTCTCACATTGTGACTGAACAAAGGAATTGATAAATTAAATGGCACGGTTTTTTAAAAATAAAAAAGGAAGTCAAATTGAGTTTTGCGTTTAACACGTGCGGTTCACGCGCGAAAATAATTGGAACGAGTGTTCCCTCTTGTGATAAATGTCGTAACGCACTGCTACCAGCGCTATCAGCTGGGGAATTACGCCGCGCAATTGATTTCGAGCTTCCTCGGCGGTTTCCGCGAACGGACACTGGCAACGTGAGAAATTCGAAGCCGGATGGACGACAGGAGAGTACACGCCAATCCGCAGTGATAAACGCTTCACGAGGGCTCTCCCCTGCGGGCTTCTCTTTCGCATTCGCAACGTCGGCGTCGGCGGTTTTCTCGCGGTAACGTCGTGCTCGTGACGATTCACGGCGCGATATCGCTCACATTCCACGGGGTGCACGTCACCGAGCTGCACTGTCGTAGAGCGCGCGTTTGTTCTCGCGGAAGTTTGCAGAAAATCGCGAAGTGCACTTTCTGCGATACGCCGCCCACGTCGCGGATTTTGATGCAGCAAAATAGCACGTCGAAGCTGCCCACGGAAAAATACTATTCTATTGTTATACGAAAGGAGAAAATAGTATGATTTGCCCATACATAAATCTGATTATGTCAAACAGATTCAATATTGATCCCATACTGTGTATTTATAGTTACTATAAACCATACTGTTCCTTCCACCCAGAAAAGCGATTACTTAGTTTACTTTCCTTCTTTCAAGAAATGGTCTTATCTTCAACAAAGAATATTTTCTTGACAATAACCTTAAAATGTGATTACAAATTTTAGAAAAGCTCGTGTAAAAATCGAAAAAAAGTTGGTCTGACTCTATAGCAAATAAACCGAATTTTTGTTTTACTTTAATATTTCTGGTTGAAATGTTAAACTTACTAGAATTTAGAATTTATTTAAAAGAAATTTGATGCTTATGATGAACTTATGATACATTAAAAAAATATTTATAAATTTATTTATAGAATATGAAATTTATTTCTGTGAGAGAAGTTTATTTCATAGAAATAAAGGTTATATCTGTGAATAAATGTTATATTCCACAAATAAATTTTCTAGTGTTCTTTTTTCAATGTAGGTTTGTGGATATACACTGAAAAAAAAACTTGAAAGTTTATTTGTGGAAAATGAAGCTTATTCACAGAAATAAACTGTATTTCTATAAATAAACTTTATATCTAGCGAATCAATTTTCAAACATTTTTTTCACAGTGTATAAATTCATGTACTTAAAAAAATAATATTTAGTTGAATGTAGTGCGTATTTTTCTGTGTGAGTTTGTAATAAACAAAATATCGTAGCATAAAACAATTTTGTTTTTACAGGCTGAATCTATTTTTAAAGCGTTCTCGTATATACAAAGAGTAATTTTATTTTAACGTTATATCCCCCGCTAATAAAATCTCTCATCGACATTGCGGTGCTTTTGCTTCTCGACGATAGCGTTAACTTCAACGTCTCATATCGTAAAAGTTCCTCGTTCAAATGTTCCTCGTTATGTCGATTAATAAAAGGCCGCTTTAAAATTGGGCCGAAAAGCGCCAACGCGCTCTGTATTAATCGCGGCTTGATGAGCCCGAAGTACCGATAACAGCTTCTTCGCCCTGGCTGGTTTACGATCTCGGCCGGTGAGTTGTTCATGAAAACAGTCTTGACACTAATTCGCACACGATTAATTAGCCGCGGCGTGTTTTTTAGTAGCAACATTCACTCGCTAGCGAAGTGAACACGGAACGATGATGCCACCCACACGCGGGTGCCTTCACTTGCTCCTCTCTTCACGAACTCGACAGAATGTCACGCCCTCGCACAAATTGTACGAATTCATATTGCTATTCTCATTAAGATCACTTCATGACTACGCGCTCGTGTCTTGAATAACCTAAGAAAATTCGGTCAAACTGATCTAAACTTTTCTATTTCTAAAAAAGATCGATTAAACTTTTGCAGCAGTTGATTAATCAATCCACTGTTCGGCGATCCCAGTTACATCTTTATTTTTCGAAAATAAGATTATGTATCAAAATTATATTCTATCTCAATTATCAATCACGTATGTGTTGAAAGTCGTAATGGATATCAATATGAAAATAAAGAATACATATGTGTGTATGTTATTCTCCAATTATTATTATTTTTTTATATAATACTAATTCATCAATCTATTTTTCGAAACCCGAATTAATCTATTTCTAAAATATTATATTGTAAGAATCCAAATCAATTATATTATGTATTAATATAAAAATCATAAAAATATTACATATATAAGTTATTTTCTAGTTATTTTTTTCTATGTGATATTAATTTATCAATCTATTATAAACTTCCCGAGATTCGAATTGCTCTATTTCTAAAATATTATATTGTAACTGGTTCAATCAAAATAATTTCATGAGACTAGACACTTATGCAGATACATATAATCTGAGAAGGTTTAATCGGATTCGAAAAGTTCGTAATATCAGGCAGAGTGTAAAAGTGCAATGACAAAACACGCGGTTGTTACGCCTGTGAGATACTTCCGAGCGGCGCGCTTCCACCTCAGAATATGCGTGTGCGGAATCCTCTGTCGGGCCGCCAGCTGTTAATTTCGTTAATTGTCGCCACGAACTTCGCGTGCACGTGCTATATCGCGTACTACGGAGATAGCGACCCGCGATAACTATTATATCGCATGAGACGAGCGCACGTAGACAGACAGACATGCCCGGAGATATGCCTGAAGTTCGTGTTCACCGTTTCCTGGGAAATAGTTGGCAAAGCCTTTGATCAGTCCGTAAACAGATAACGCGGTGCTAAAGTGATATGGAATACAACGCGAGATAAGGCGTGCAGTGCCAACAGTGTCCCTTGAGTAATCAGTTCGTAAATATCGCGGGTTTAACATCTCGCACAGCTTGCGGATTGCATCGAGAAAGAAATATCTAAAAATTGCATAATTATAATAAATTATTTATTTAGTGGTATTCTAACAATATATTTACTTAAATCTGAATTCTTTTATTTAAATGAAACAAATAATTGCCTTTTTATTTTAATGTATACATATAATATATATTTATTTAAGAATTTTATATTAGTACAAAAGTAAATATATACTGTTAGTACCCATCAAATAAATATTTATCATTTTTTAGATGTTTGAATTAAATTGAATTTGAAATGGCATTGAATTGGACATTTTCAATTGTTCTTTTTTTGTAAACTATGCTGACTTATTAGTTCACTTCTTAAGAATGAGGTTACTCCATTTTTCGAATATTACATTCAAATATAAATCTCGAAGATCAATATCAAAATTAATATCAATATACGTGCTATTTTTTGACATAGTAATTGAGAAAATATGATAATGTAGGAAATACGATAATGAGTAGATATGATAATGCAGAAAATATGATAATGAGTAGAAAATATGATAATGAATGTAAAAATAAACACACATAAAAATACTATACGAGAGTTTTCGCTTGATTTTCCCACAGATTCTCAGGATGTCGACCTGGATGCGATCCTCGGTGAACTATGCGCCCTGGAGCGGCGTTGCGACGGCGACATCGCCGCCACGCCCGCGCCAGACTCGCAGAGGCCAGGACGACCCACTAGCGCGAGGATCAATCCGGGTGACAACACTGACATCAAAAATGAAGGAGGTACGATGTCGACCGCGAATGATCTTTTTTCACATGTTATATTTTAATACATCGTGATATTCCATACAGTATGAGGTAAATGCTCTAATAACGAAACTAATATGAAAGCATGATCAGCTTTCTTCTTATTAATAAATAATGAATGGAATTACAGACAAAATTAATGTTTATATAAAACTATAGTTCGTTAGCGATTGAAATATAATAGGTAATCAAATAATCAATAAATATCAATCATAATTTTGTATAAAATATTAGATAATGCCAGTAACTCAACTGAAAAATAAATTATTAAATAATATTACAAGTTGCCATAAAGAAATGTCTTTTAACAAAATTTCAAAGGCTCTTTTTTAAAAATATTCTATATAGAAATATATTATTAATGTTTCAATTACATAAACATTGTTCAATTACTGTGTGGAACATTTACCTTAAATGTCTAAGAGATCATCTCAGAGACATCCGAAAAGTATCCTACTCAATTTAAGTGTTCTTAGGACGTTTCTGAGACGTATTTTAGACATTTGTCTAAAATGTTGTTTGGGATATCGTAACGATGTAATTCGACGTATTTTAATTTTGTTTCTTCATTTTTACCTCCTTCATTTTTACCCCGCAGGTTTGCGCACCGACAGTCCCGACAATGACAGCGCATTCTCGGACACGGTGTCCATGCTGTCCAGCGAGAGCTCAGCGAGCAGTAGCGGATCAGGCCATAAACCACCTCAAATCGCTATGCACACTGCCCCTCAGCAACAACCTCATCAACTTGTCGGTGAGTGTTTAATTTTGCAAGGGGACAGAGTGTCGATAATTTTAGATTATAAATGAATGAAGCGAGTCGAAGTGACTAAAGCAGTTTCAAATCTCTCTCTTCGTCTTTTAACGCAGCAACTTGCGCACTCAAGATATTCGCACGACGCGACTGAATTATCTCTCGGGAGGGAGAAAGAGGAAATTGTAATCTTTCACACCGGAATATATTTGTGGGCAGAACGTGTATGTTTGTCTTGATCTTCGCAGATGCAGCGAGCAGAGCGAAGGCGGAAAAGATTCGCCTGGCGTTGGAGAAGATGCGCGAGGCGAGCGTACAGAAGCTCTTCATCAAAGCGTTCACGTTAGACGGCAGTGGTAAGAGTCTGCTGGTCGACGAGGGGATGAGCGTCGCGCACGTGTCGAGGCTGCTCGCGGACAAAAACCACGTGCCAATGGATCCGAAGTGGGCCGTGGTCGAGCACTTGCCCGATCTCTTCATGGGTGAGTCTATTTGTCAAACGTTCATTATCTCCTACATGTCGGACGCTAATTGCTCACCGGTGGCGCAATAATTATCCTAAGACGGACAATATGCGACGACGTTCTTTACAACGATGATATTTTCATGGAGAAAATCAATATTTATCATCTTGATGATCCTCTCCCCCTCCCTTCTTTCCATTTGATTTTGTTGAAACATTTAATCAAATAAAAATGAAATAAGTAAATTCAATTAAAAGTAATACGTCCAATAAATATTTTCTTATATTTCTGTGTAATAAATAATTTCGGATTTTCCGAAATTATTCGCTTTATTTAAAATAAAGCGATTCTATTTTTATCTCGTTATAATTTTGCGAGACAATGCGTGCGAGAGATGACAAGAGATCATGGATCAAAATGGTATATCAAATGTTCTATCAAGATACATGTAAATCAAAATTGTTTCGTTTTACCTGAAAAATCCGTAAAATTACTTATTACACAAGTTAATACAATTGCTACAATGAGATATTTTGATTCATCGCGATGATATAGACGATTTCGTATGTTCAACGATACTTAATTCTTCCCGTTATTGTTACTTTTCTTCTCGAATCTTTCAGAGCGAGTTTACGAGGATCATGAGCTACTGGTGGAGAATCTCCTACTGTGGACCAGGGACTCAAAGAACAAGCTGCTGTTCGTCGAGAGGCCGGACAAGACTCAACTATTCCTCACGCCCGAGCGATTCCTTCTGGGCCCTACGGATCGTGGCGGCGGCGAGTACGACTATCACTCGAGGAATATGCTATTGGAAGAATTCTTCTCGAGCAGCAACGTCGGCGTGCCCGAGGTGAGGGACCTAACGACATGTTTACGATCCCGTCGCGCGCCTTGGCAACCGGGCCAAACGACGTTCTCCCTCGATAACGACTCGGTGTTGGCGCGCGTCCCGTCTGCATCTCTTCTGCATCGATTGCCTTTTGCTTCCAGGTCGAGGGTCCTCTCTACTTGAAATCGGACAGCAAGAAAGGCTGGAAGAGGTATCATTTCATTTTACGGGCCTCCGGTCTTTACTATTGGCCGAAGGAAAAGGCACGCACTGCGCGGGACCTCGTCTGTCTGGCGACTTTCGACGTTAATCAGGTTTGTCATTTATCCTTTCTTCGGACAAAATGATATCTTATAGCCGTATATTTCATTTTTTACCTTATGCCACTTTGGCGAAAATTGTTATCTTATGCTACTTTGAAGAAAATCTTAGTTTGATGTGTCGTTTTCTATTATTATGCGTCTCAAGAGTATTTGATTGATTACTTGATACGTCCAGCTCCTTAAATGTATCCTCTATAAAACCTTTAATCCGCCAATTTTCATTTCTTTCTCTCTTTCTCAAGCTTCCATTGAGAATATTGTTATTATCGTTGCCATTATACTAGGTTTACTACGGCGTCGGCTGGCGAAAGAAGTACAAAGCGCCCACCGACTTCTGCTTCGCCGTGAAGCACCCCCGATTGCAGCAGCCCAAGTCCACTAAATACATCAAGTTTCTCTGCGCGGAGGACAACGCGTCACTGGAGCGATGGATGGTCGGTATTCGCGTGGCCAAGTACGGCAGACAGCTAATGGACAACTATCGTGCTCTCGTGGACGAGCTCGCGCAAGAGGATCTAGACTTGCTGGCACACGCCAGGTCGTGCTCGGTCAGTTCCATCGCTGCGCCACCGAATCAGACCCAATACAACACGACGAACGATAACGCCAGACAATACGCGGAAAACACAAGGCATAACAGTGAAACGGGCGTCGCCACGACGAGGCAATACGAGGGACAGAGGCAGAGCTATAATCCGGAGCAACGACAGAGCTACAATAACGATGGTCGGCTCAGCAGAGCGAGTAGTTCCAGTTCCAGCGGATGCTTGTCTGATGGGGCACCGAGTAGTTGTGAGGTGAATACGACGAAAATGTAGATTTGAGATACGTAAAAGTATTAATGAATCCGTAAAAATACGCGTCTTGTTATTGCAATCATTGCCTGTAACGGAGCATTCTTGGTTTGATCGCTTATTCTTTCCATTACATTATCTCAGGCTTTAAATAAATCTTTTATCCATCTTTTTGTCTACTTCAGTCTCTGTTATTTCTGTGTATATAGACAATATGTAACTAGAAATATATGTATGTAGGTGGCCTTCGAATGTGGGGAATTCCCAACGGGCACGATCAAACGCAAGCCGTCTATGAACCCAAAATTGCCCCTCACTTCGATCACGAGGCAATTGAAGGAAGTTGGTGAAACTGTCCGCGACGAGCCGGATTCTTGCCCGAGTCCGACGAGCTCGGGATCAGGTACGCTAACCAGAAGACACAGCCGCCGTCGTAGCGGTACGGATTCTGATGGATCTGGAACCCTGAAGAGACATCACAGATCTGGAAATGCAACACCTGTCAGCCCGGTGCCACCTGGTACACCGGTGAGAGAAAGGGCAAGCCCCATGGGATATAGCAGACCGGACAGTCAGGAACCGAAAACGCCAACTAGTCCGATACAATCGTGTATGGTACGTATATATTACACATACACAATTGAGATATCAATAAATCAATACTAAATTTGTAGTGATTATGTGATCATCTCATACATATCCAATATCCTAATCAATCTTCCTTGTATGACATTCAAAGTCTACGTAAATTCGAAGAGACTATGATATCCTATGTGTGACAAGCAACTTTATATCTCACAGATGGATTCTATCACCTCATTGCCGCCACCACCGTCGCCGTCGAGAGTCGCCGAGGAAGTCGAGTCCGACAGTGAGCCTCTTCCACCGCCACCTCCGGAAATGTTCCGGTCTAATCTCTCATTGGACTCGCTGCCGCCGCCACCAGCACCCGGCGAGCTTCCTATTTGCAACACACCGGAGCTCACAGGCTCTTCGTTGAGTCTCGCGTCGTTACCGCCGCCACCGAGCCCGTTAGTCGGCGAAACTGGAACGATACGTCGCGCCAGACCCAAGCAGTCCACCCCTACGAACTCTGTAACCCCTGAGAGTACTCCCACGCATACCCCCAGATCGCAATCCTGTCAAATGTACGCGAACACAAACAGTCTCGCGCTGAACAACAATTCGGTCCAGAATAGTCAGAACTACAACTCGAACGCGTCCCCGAACGCCCATGCGAACAACACCGCCAATTCCGTGTCCTCCCCGCAAAGTTCCTACCCGGGATCGACGGCGAGCACGCCAACCTACACCCCGAGCTCACCTAACTTTGCGTCTCCACCACCCTTCGTGCCACCGCCGGCTTACGGCTCTCAGCAACAGCAACAGCAACAACAACAACAACAACAACATACCAATTCCCAGAGCCTCGGCAGACAGAATTCCAAGGTCGAGCAGTTATACGCAAGTCATCAGTCGACTCATCACAACACAATCCAGCCGATCAGACCGAACCCCAACATGGACACTGTCCGGCGCAGCGCTATGAAACAAGGAACCGGTCATTACGCAGCGCCACCGTATCTAGCCGAGTTGAAAGCCGCTTCCAGTCCACAACCGCAACGCCGAGTAACCATTCAAGAACCCCCAACGTCGCCCAAGTCCAAAACCGGGACCGGTAAGAAGATCTCCTTTAATCTACCACCTCAACAAGAACCTGGTAGCCCAGCTTTGCCGCAGCGTAAACCAACGCCACCGAGGAGGTCTGACAGCACGAGGCTCACATCACCTAAGAAACTGGCAGCCTCTGATCAGGCTCCACCAGGCGACTTTCTAAAGGATCTACAGAGGGTGATGAGGAAGAAGTGGCAAGTCGCACAGAAATGCAAACTGGACTCCACAACAACACCACACGAGGTGCTCGGTTTTCGAGATCCGCCACCCGCAGTAGCCGACTACAGGGAGACCAATGTGTCCAACTGGGTGCAAGAGCATTACGGCGCGGACAATCTCTACGAGAACGTGTACGCGACGGATCCTCATGGACCAGTCGAGTACGCGTCCAGCCCAGCTCGACAGCCAACTGTGAGGTTCGCCGACGAGAACCGCAGCATGAACATCGTCAATGCCATCGCGGGCAAGAGGAGACCGCCACCGCCGCCACCTAAAAGGGCCGAGACCACGCATCTGACTACCACCAGGGCGATGCACTGACAATAGCAGATAATCCAGCCCCATCCCGAGAGGCGATGGTATTGCTGTCTCTGCGGCTGGTGGAAGGACTGAGGCGAGGAACCGAGGCTTCGTCGACCACGCGACACCTCGTCGCCGGTCCGGAATACCGGAAATCGGCCGATGTCGAGTCCATGTGCGTCCGTCGACTTCGCCTCGCAGTCCGCAGGGTCACTAGCGAAGAAGAGTGCGTGCTTCTCTTCGCTGAAGGAAAGGTTGTACGATTTTGTTGTGCGACTCGTTGCCGAGCTCTATGCAGATCGGTTCGATCGCGCGAGTCCAACGAGAAGTCCAAGTTATTCGGATATCGGAAACTGTCGAGAATATTTATCGATTCGTTTGGGTCTCTTTAGTTTCACAGAGAGAAGTATGTATCTGAATTGGTCGAGTATCTATATAAATGTCAATCAGAAGGAAATATTTGCGTAAAAAGATACGATATTGGTGTTGTCAACGATATTACGAGGAAATTTCAGCAGATCACAAGTACATCAAGAATGAACGTCGGTGAACCGTCCTTGTCGGAAGTTCTTTTGGAGGAACGCGAATCAGAAGCCGAGCAAGCAGCCTATTTCTGAGCTGGGCTGAACTGAAGTCGGGGTCGCAACAGATTCGATGCGTCATGATCGATCAACACACGGGGAAACACTGCCGCACAGACCAAGGATGTGATATAAATCTTAAACGCCATGCTCACGCTCCCGCGATTCGAGGATCGTGCAAGAAGGTGACCAAGAACAACGGGATAACGCACAATGTTGAATTCTCGGGAGGTACGACGGGGGAGCGAATCTACCAATCGCGATTTCATGCGAGAGTTCGACGTGTGTGAGGATTTCATAGCCTCGTTTCATCTGCCTCGTCCGCGAATTTCTCGAGTCTTCTCGGATACGATGAGTAACACGAAACGAAGAAGATAAATCGAAATGAGGAGGGATAATTTCTTCAGATATTCTCAAGTCCGAAATTCGTTTGGTGATCAATTAAAATATGATCACCTCGAGAAGTAATGCACTGCGTTTTTCAACTTGCGATTTGTTTCGAGATGCGAGACTCTTGAAGGAAGAATAAATGTGAAAGAACGACACATGTCATCTTTCCTGAGTAACGGTTTACCGTTTCAAGAATGTGTTCCCGAGAAGAAGAAACTCTGACGGCGAGAAGAGCGAGCCGAGAAAGTCGTCGCGAAGCGGAATTGATCTCAGTTTGAACCGGACGCGAAGGGCGATTTTAGCGCAGCGCGGGAGTGTTTCGCTTCCAACGACGAAGAAACGAACACGACTCGATCGAAATATCTTCTATGCAACTCGCATACGTCTCTTGCGATCACATCCATGTGCATAGGTATATATGTATATAAACTGAATATATATACGCGCGTCTCTATATTATATACATCTCTATATCAACTCGATACTGCTGTATGTGTAGTTGTATCATACAATCTAAACGCAATTCTCAAATGTGGACGTGACAATGGGGACGATCAAGTCGTCAGTATGACCTCTTTTATTAGGTGTACCCTATATAAAAACGACGACGATGACGATCTTTCTCGTTCGTCGTCAATGCGAATCGCGAAGGCGTAGCGACATCTCGTCGAAAGGATTGATATCCTTTTTGTTTCCTTCTCGTCCGATAACGAAATCAACTGACGACGAAGACGGCCACGAAGATAACGTGCCGAGTTCGGAGATCAGGCGGACGAAACCAGAAGGAATATCAAAAAATTCGTACGTGTTTCCGGCGAATGAGTCGATCCGCGGATGAGGACGTAGGTAACAAACACTTTGGATACTTGGAATGTAAAGAAAATTTGCGCGAATGTGTCTCGATGGCCTGCATTCGCTTATCTCGACTCGTTTCTACTTTGGCGAATCGACTACTCTTCTCTTACTTCGAGTATCCCACACTGCTAGAGTTAGGCAGACAGACGCGCGATGACCGCTGCTTGGCGCCACGCCTGCGTCCGCGAGCGCGAGGAGGATCGTCGCATTTAGCCAACGACGGACGAGGGACAGCACAAGTGCGTGGCGCTTCTCCCGTCTGTGATCACCGAATGGAATCTTCAGCAACGACTGCGGACGCCTTTTGAAGTCGCGTAGCTGGACTTGTAGTTTTATATCTCGATTTGTATCGCGTTTGCATGACTTACATGTGAAAGTTAATGAACTCCTCGGACTTACACGGAGCATCTGTATCGTCGGATTTTTATATGTAAAGGTGTCGGAGGCCGCGCTCGAGAGTTACGCTCGTCGGTGCGACAGTCCATCCCGTAGAAAGTATTTTATACGATCGAATTTTGATACGCAGAGGATATTTCGCCACGTAGTTAACGAATAACGCGCGGATAACAGGGAAGCGCGGGAGAACTCGACGTCGTCGTGATGGCGGTTTCGCGCAACCGGTCGGAGTTTCGGGGGAGTTTTCGACCCGGAACGAATCTCTGACTCGTCGACGAATTTCTGGTACTCCAGAATAGTCGCGAGCGCGCGATCAGCCGCCCGATTTTCTCGACGACGACTGGTCCACCCGTCGCGAAACCCGTGGATTTACGCGGCGCTTTCAGATCACTCCCGATGACTTTTACCCCGTCGACTTTTGCAATTTTCTAAAGGAACTCACGTCGTGCCTGCGCGCGAGAAATTCTCCGAACTTTCTAAAAGTGCAACCCCCCGTGTGTGTATATGTGTGTGTGTGTGTGTGCGCGCGCGTGTCTGCCTGCGCGCGAGGATTTTCCGAGAGTTTTTTCTTTTCTAAAGAGGCACTCGCGCGCACAACGCCGTACTACGATCGCGCGGTTTTTCTAGCGATTTTCACGCCGTGCCTGCGCGCGAAAATTTTTGCAACAACACTCGCACGTCTCCTCCCCCTCTCCCTCCTCCCGCGCACCGACCGCGATCTCCTCGAGCGTGCGCCGAGAGCGCGCGAGCACGAATCTGCGTACACTGTAACACAATCGAATTACTTAATAATAATAGCTAAAGAACTAACTTAAAGTGGAACTGTCGATGTGTGTCGATTTAATTATATCTCCCGCCTTACGCGCGGTTTTTAATCAAACTGAACCAATAATAATATAAATGCATTTTTGAGACTAATATATCGACTTTACAGAGACTTAAGCCTGAAACTACTGAGAGATGACTTTTTCATACGAATTTCTACTCAACACATTCGCCGCGAGTGTCCGTCAGTGCTCTTTACACTCGGAACTGCGTGAAGCGCAAAATTTCACTCGTTGAGAAGGCTGTCTAAAAATTGTGTCCAAGAATTTTATACGATCGAATGTCAGCTAAATTTCACGTTTTCACGTTATGAGAGGACACGTCGTTTCTTTTATATTTCCTCGATTGGTGCGACTTCGATATCTACCCTCGCTTGATTTGCTTCTTCGTTCACGAGGTCACGCGTGATTACTAAGAAGCTCTCTTATATCCTGATCGTATTCTCAAAATATGATTTCACTTATCGCTCGACGCTACTCTTCGAGTTTGTGTGTGACGAGTCGCGCGATCGCTCATTCCGAGTTAACGAGAACCGATACAGGACTCGCCGGGGATGCTTGCGTGCCGAGAGAAAGAGAGAGAGAGAGAGAGAGACGAGCGGATGAAAACTTCTTTCGTACTCCTTAAGGAACTTTCGTCGAGCTGAACGCTCGAGGCATTCTGAGTAGGTAGCTTAGTATTCGATGTCCGCGTGCAGCCCGTCGCTTCATTTTCGTAGAATGGACGAGCCAGTCGTTGGATCCCAGTTCGTTTGGGGAGGAAGGGGGGGACAATCTCTGTCACTCGATCGAAGCTCTCATCGCGGAGTGCGTTAGTGCAATTGTGGACGTGGAGGAGGGGAGTAATCCGATATATCGTAGGGATTGCAATCATAAAGTGATTATTGGATAATATTTTAATTGTTGTGTGTCCACACGCGATTTTCACACGAGAGGACCGGTCCAACGGCGCCCGGCTGACGGGCGACATCAGTTAGCAACGTGCGTAACGTCCGATGCGGAAATCTCTTTCTTCGATTGTAACAGTTTCTCGCGAATGAGTTGGACGAATGGCGGAGAGAAAAAACGGGAAGGGGGGAATGTTTAAACGAAAGCGCTGCGTATTATTTTTCAAATCGAGGAACAATTTTTCAACGAAGACGCAAGGGCAAGAACCTTCACAGCCACGAGTCGGCCCCGATTGTATCGTATCTTTTTCGATTATATACTCTAAGTTGTACGTATAGTTCTGTAAATATTGTAATGAATGGTACTATATACGAGGAGAGAAAAATTGTTGTCGGTGATATCGCGCGGCCGGGCAATGGTATAAACGCATTTATGTTATTTATGAAAGAGGTAGAAAGAGAGAGAGGGAGAGAGAAAGAGAGAGCAAAAAAGGAGAGGAGACGAGAAGCTTGTGTGCTATGCGCGCGGGAGGAGAGGGAGGAGGAAGAAGAGGAGAAGGAACGTAAACTTTCAGAGACGAAGAGGGATTTAACGTTGCGAATCGGGGCTCTGCGTTTTCGTTTCGTTTCGATTCACTTTAATTGTATCGGCTCGAGAAACGCTTCGATCAGTTTATCTCACGAGGACATAGACACCGCGACACCTCGAACGTGCTGTGTTTGCATCGCTATCAAATCGATTCGATGTAGCTTACGACTAGACTTTAGGTCATTAACAGGTTGTTTCGGATACGCGCTCTGTGCAGGTGTGTTTAAGGAAAGAAAGAAAAGAAAGAATGAGAAAAAAAATTGCGACAATACCATTATTTCGTGACTCGACGCCAGTTGTTTAGGCATGACACGTACCGTGCGAACAAAGAAAAATGCGCAGCAGTTGAAATATTATAGGTATTATATTCATGTTTTTATGTAAATAAATTTTTGGTATATTTCAATGATCGACGGGGCTCGTCTTCTGATCCTCTCCCCTTATCCCTCGCCGGATTATCGTCCCGCAAGCTCGATGCAAGTGTAGCGTGGTACATTACGGTATTCTTGCTCCTACACGGAAAAAAAGGTTGAATTAACCAAATATCTGGTCGAATATGAACGATCCAGAAATCCCGATAGAAATAATCCGAATTCTGTTTAAGTTAACAAGATTTTTGATTGACTTAAACAGAATTCGGATTACTTCAATCGGAATTTCTGGATCGTCCATATTCGACCAGATATTTGGTTAATTCAACCTTTTTTTCCGTGTAGAAATTTCGCGATGCGCAACTCTAGCGTTTCGTGATAAAGTGAAATATTATGGGGAATTCGGTAAACTTTCTCTTTATCAGGGCGATAAACGCGATGATTCACAGGTGCTTTTTTACAGTTTGCTGTTGCATCGCGTTCCGTGACATTTTTGCACACTGACATCTTTTCAGCTAAATTCCATCTTTTTACGCAGCCGAATATTCGCAAAATCACCTGTTGTTTCTTACTAACCATCGATAATGCAATATTAACTGTTGGTAACGGAAAATAAGACTTTCGATTTAAATGATTCCGACTGACAGGACATCGCGAACGCTATTTTTACTCCCTATAAAACTGATCGTCGATATTTTGGCAATTTTTGCCAAATTTTCAACTTTCAAAATCGCACCTATAAAATTCCCACATTGTGTGTGGAGGAAGCGCCACAAATAATTGCTTCTCCTCGACTCGCGCGGAAGACGCGTTTCGACAGATTCCGCACGTTTCTCGCACGACGTATGATGTTTTTGCGCGAGTCTCGCGGCTTCTCTTAGAATTTCAAACCGCGAGCGACCGCCCTTCTGCCGACGGCGTATATAAGTAGCAAAAAGGCGCGCGCTTCCGGTCATAAAAGCGCCTTAATAAAAAAGCCCTCGTTTTTAATATTCCCAAGCCGTGTGTGAGTGGCGGCGCCCGTAGATACACATAAACTTCCGCGGTATTGAATTTTCCAGCTTTTCCCGCGCCGCGTACCAAGCCGAAACTCACCGGCGTAACGCAAAACCCGTGGTAGCCGCTCATAGTAGTGGTACAGACGGCTCTACTCCAAGGAATATTCGCTTTTATACACTCCTTTTTTCCTTTTATTTTCATACCTTAACGATAGTCCACGCGCGTCAGCGAGCACGATTCATAATTCATCCGTCGCGTTCTCTGTCGGCGATTCTCTACCGCGACTCGCCTGCAATTAATTAAGGGTGCATTGTTCATATCGCCAAAATAATGAAAAAATTTCGAAAACATTGAAGATTACGATCCGCACTGCATCAAAAAATGATCGCAAACAATATGACATTGATTCAGAGCCCCGATAAAAAATTATTCAATTCGATAAAAAATTACTCGCTTTGAAACAAACACGATGGCGTCAAGTGACGCTCCAATGATGCATTAATGGCATCTCAATAATACGTTATTAATATATCATTAATATAAATCGCATCTTAATAATATGTAATTAATATATCATTTGACGTCAGCCTACTATTTGGGAGTATTTTAAATTTTACTGTTGTGGAAATATGTGATGTTTGCTATTTTTAGTAAATGAAAAGATAATTAAAAATAATGACACGTTTACAATTAATTTCTCAACAAACATTTCAATTAATTTTCTTTTAAAAAACTAATTAAAAAATAATGACAAAATCTAAATTAATTTTCTTTCGAAAAATAATTAAAAATCTCAATTCATTTCCTTGTGAATAGTAATTAAAAAAAATAATGACAAAAATTTCGATGTTTGCGTATATGTACTTTGAATATTCAAGATAATGTATGCAAAATTCCCATTACAGATAAAAGCTCAAGGGCCAGAAAAATCATAGAAAATAAATCAAACTGTAAAATTATTATATTAAAAATATAGTGTATATTAAGTATTTAGTGTGTAAAAAAATATATAATGTTATTTAACTGTATCATATATATAATACATTTTATATATACAATGTATATATATAATACATTTTTAACGGAAAATTTAATAAAAGAATTGTCAAATTAAAATTAAATATAGAATTAAATAAAATTAAATTAAACTGAAGAAATATTTCTAACGTGTTTCTAATTTTCTCAGTTTCTTACTTTATGCAGGGATTAAACGTGCAATACTGCATACATCCGGCTTTTCCGGCTGATAAATTCACGACAAATGCGATCGCGTTAAATTACATTCGTATGAACGCATGAAACTATATTACATTGTTCTCCGAAGCGTAGGAAAGTAGTCAATTGTTCGGATTAATTTCTTAATTTACACAATTACATGGCTCTCGTCGTGGCACGTTTGTCGATCACTTCGAGCTTGGCGCACAAATCTCGAAGTGTGTTCCTCGGTCCGAGTAATTGTTTAAGGTCGTTAAGCCTGTATCAGGCTGATAAGGTGTCGGCTGTCAAATCGAAGTAGCGGATAATTGCTCACGGCAGGCGAAGCGGCTTTTCCGCGAAGTTACGGCAATTGCGCGGCATATATTGCCTTCAGCGCGTTTTACTTCATAACACGGGGAAGATTGACGTAAATAAACGAAATTGCCGGGCGCCCGTTGCCGAGAAAGAGAGAGAAAGAAGGAAAGAGAGAGAGAGAGAGAGAGAAAGAGATAGAAAAAGAGAGAGAAAGAGTGTGCGCGGGGGTACTGTTTTATGGATTCTTTTTACGACTTATGGCAGTCCTGCGTTCTACTTTGCGTTTACGTCATACGCGACCCTCGAGCGTTTACGCGCGCCGATATTCCAGGGGGTTCGCGG